CCGACTCTGCTCCAAGCCATGACAGGATCTGAAACGTTCCAGTCAAAACTGGAAAACCGATTCGCTGCCGTGGAAACCACAACTGACGTAAGCCAGAACCTCAAAAATGTGGTTCGGATCCTCAGGGAAGAAGATACGAGATTTTGTGAAATGCAGCGTAAAGGCAGGAAGTCGAAGCTTTCAGAAAGGACCCTAGGGCTGATGAAGAAAGGACGTGAAAACCCACCTGTCACTTTGTCAGCAAAGCGGACTCTAAACCGAGAGATCAGTAAACTCGTACGACACGACCTCCAGTGCTCCAATATGCTCTTTCAATTGAAAGAGCGATCGAGCAGAATCGGGGTCAAGTGTTCGTACAATCTCTTGGAAAGAGCCACATGACAAAGTTGACCACACAAAGTGGAGAAGTGGTTGCTTCAAAGCCGGCAGTCCTTTTGGAAGTGGAAAGCTTCTATGGCCGGTTATACGCTTCGCATGCATCTCGACCTGAACCCGAAAATGAGGACTCTAGAGCCACATTAACCTGTCACTACACCGAAGACCTGCCGGAAGTAACAAACCCGTACTAAGGGAGCTCCAAAAGCTCTTCAACGCTGTCCTGTTTGAAAGGAGAACTCCGGAAGCGTGGAGTAGGAGCGTGGTCGTCTTGTTCTTCAAAAAGGGTGACAAGACCATGTTGAGGAACTATCGACCCATATCCCTTCTCAGTCACGTCTAGAAGCTGTTTTTGGAGAGTCATCACGAACCGTCTTGCGCAAAAACTCGACAAATTCCAACCACCGGATCAAGCTGGGTTTCGGAGCTGATATGGCACCATAGACCACATCCACACAGTGCGGCAGATTATACAGAAGACCGAAGAATATAATCACCCCTGAGTCTAGCATTCGAGGACTATGAGAAACCCTTCGACTCGATCGAGATCTGGTCTGTTCTGGAGTCCCTGGAGTGTTGCCAAGTAGATTGGCGATACATCCAAGTGATGAAATGTCTCTACGAAGCAAAGAAGGCCCCATACCATTACATCGAGGAGTGAGACAAGGGGACGTTATTTCCCCGAAATTGTTCACAAATGCAATGGAGGACATGTTTAAGACGCTGCACTGGAAAGGGCGTGGCATCAGTATCAATGGTGAATACATCTCTCACTTGCGATTTGCAGACGACATCGTCATCATGGCAGAGACGTTGCAGGACCTACATCAGATGCTGAATGACCTAGCTGACTCTTCTGTAGGCATCGGCCTACGGATGAACTTGGATAAAACCAAGGGCATGTTCAACGAACATGTACTACCGGAACCGATTGCGGTACACGGTGCCGTTCTCGAAGTTGTTCAAAATTATGTGTACCTCGGGCAGACATTGCAGTTATTTAAAAACAACTTCGAGGACGAGGTGAATAGAAGAATTCAGTTGGGTTGGGCAGCGTTTGGGAAGCTACGTCGAGTCTTCTCATAGTCGATCCCACAGTTCCTTAAGACAAAAGTCTTTAATGAGTGCGTCCAATCCGTCATGATATACGGAGCCGAAACATGGACACTCACGGTGCGGCTGGTCCACAAGTTCACAGTCGCTTAACGTGCTATGGATAGGCCTATGCTCTGGGCTGCTATGAAGTGGGCTGGCCATATCAGCCGCAGAACCGACAACCGTTGGGGAAAACGAGTTCTTGAGTGGAAACCGCGTCTCGGCAAACGTAGTGTAGGACGCCCACAGGCCAGATGGAGTGACGAAGCCCAAAATCGATCTAAGTGGCGTGCAATGGGAGAGGCCTATGTCCAGCAGTGGACTGCGATAGGCTGGTGCTGAAATAATTTGTAAATAGGAAATAGAGACAAACGTTGACCTATGTTTTACAAACTCACATTGTCAAAGTATATGTACATATGAGTGGCAGTATTGTCGAACACGGTTCAAATAGCCGATGTTACTTCGTTACACGTCATTACTTTTCGCGTAAAAGCTTCTTTGGTACTCGTAAGTAGGTTTAAGATTTCTGGAACAATGCGACTTATTTAAACACATCCATGAATCTACGCTTCAAAAACTCAAAAATTTCTGCACCGATTGAGCTCAAATTTTGATACGATGTACAAAACGCTTCAAAGAGTGTGTTTATCTATTTTTCGCATTAGTTTTGTTTCTCATTTCTTGCCAATGCAACCACAATGTGCCACAGGGAGCACGCTCGAAATATTTCTACGAGAAACGACTGCACGGATGGCGTAGTGGTTTAAGCGGTCGCCACGCCGTTCGCTACTACGCTGTGTGTTGAGGGTCCGAACCCCACATGGGACGACACTGTGTGATCCACAAATTGTTGTTTGTGTCCGTTTCATGTATGTTTGTAAAGTCCACCGCGATACAGGATTTATTGCTAATGCGGGAGTTGTCTTTTAAAATAAAAAAATGAATGAATGAAAATGATTTTTTCTTATACATTTTATAATATTTTTTTATGATATAGGGGGTAAACGAGCAGACGGGTCATCTGAGTAACGGTAAGTGACTACCGCAGCCCATGGACACCAACTAGAGTAACAGATGCGTAGCCGCGTGTCCCCTTCAGAAATAGGAACCAAATACCCCCTTCGCAAAGAATTGTTTAACTACAGTTTCCTGTGAGGCCGTGGTATCACTCTGATCGATGGTGCCGAAGCGTGGATCTACCACAGACCTAATGTTATTAAATAAATCACTTCGACCTCGTCGCACATCGCTTTTCTTCTCCTCAGAACTCTTCTTATAGTTCAACCGGCTATGATAAGTCTTTCACCGTATCTGCGGTGCGACTGTGTGAATTATCTTTCTCACTCAATACGCGATAGACCATTCTTAAGTGTTTTTAAGAGGCGAATCAGGGCTTTTTTCCTTTCTCAGCAGTAACAGACTAATGTATGTACGTATTAGGTGTATATATATATATGTTGTATATGGTTAATATTGTAATGTAATGTATAATTTTATGTTATAGTTTATTTGTATTCAGTTGTATATTTCTATTTTCTTAAATTTCACTGTACATACGACTCTCTCTTGTTGTACTATCCTCTCTTCACTCTTGGGTTTGTTGGAAGAGAACTCAATCATGAGTTAAGTTCGCCTTTGTGTACACTATTTCTTAATGTATTTTTTTCTGTAAATGTGTATTGTGTACGTAAGAATAAAATAAATCAGTAGGAGTATCAGTGCTATAAAACCGAACGTGTAAACTTGTAAATAGTCTGGAGATGCGCAATAAGGGGCGATATTATCGCGTAGGGACGAGTAAAATGTCGAACCCTCGCAAAACACAAGTTTATCGAGGGTTCGTAACAAAGAATTATCTCGTTCCTAAGACCGTTTTGGGTGATTCCAAGGCCAAGTCTTTCAGTTTGCTGTTCGAAGAGGAAAATCAGAGATGGGCGCAGATTGTATTAATAATTATAAAGACCTATTCAGTTTAAATATTATATTTTATGGGTACGAATTTGAAAGACGTGAAAATGCTGTCAAGTTCTTGCTAGCACCGGGCCGGGAGAGTTCTAAACCTCTCCCAGTCCTACCCTATAACATGCTCGCAGAAGGAGACGGCGGAGTTCCACGCACTCTCGCTCCGTACCATGGCGGCAATCATACTACCGAGCGAAAGGACTCCCACTCCGATGCTTCCACCACCACTACCTTTTTTTTTTAACGCGGGGAATGCTTTTCGCACCATACCCTCCGTTGGGGAAACGCAGGACGTGTGTCGGACTCCCGGAGAACCGGTTTACCACCCCCCGGCAGCACCGGAGTGTCATCTGTCTCGGGTCGTTTGCATCGGCCACATAGCCCCAAGATGTGGAAGCAGCGACCCTTAGGCGGCGATTGTAAGAAAGCGACCTCTGCCGCGTCCCCTTCGTCGCCTCCTTCGAGCGGGATCGGTCCTCTCCCGATCCCGCTCTGCGGCCTCCTTCTGGAGCATAACGTCCTCGCAGAAAGAGACCGCGGCTGCCCATCCCTCGGGACTAGCCAGCATTGCCGCGATCAATGCTGCCGGTGTCAGGTTTCGTCCGATCTGTCCGACCAAGACTTGACGTTCGGACTCCCTCGCAGGGCAGTCCTCCAGCGTTTGCTGGGCGGAGTCCTGGTCGGACCCGAAATGGTGGCATTGTGCCGTGACCTCCCGTCCAATTCGATTCAGATACTCACCGAAGCAACCGTGCCCGGTGAGCATCTGAGTCAATCGGTAGGTGACACAGTCGTTCCTCTCTACCTATCCATAGTATTATTTTTTTGAGATTTGCAATATTTGCGTATATTTTAACAACTCTAATTATTGTTTCTACACAAAGTAATGAGAGTTGATGAGCTAGGAAAAATGAGGGAAACTTTCAAATTGTTTTGATTATTCTAATCATACGAAGAACATGTCCTTCAGCAGTAACTTTTGCCTTATTATATAACATATTTCTGTACGTAAGAGAACGTAATGGATACATATTTCTGTGGAGTCCTAAATCTTTTCCCATGAGAAAAATAGCTTAAGTTACTCCTCATAATCTATCTGCCCTTAATACCTGTGGATATCGGTATAGGATCGGTGCAGTATCGGTAGTTCGGAAAATAGATTGAACAAACAGACAGACACCAATTTAAAATTTCCATTTTTGGGTCTAAGTACCTACCGTATAAACATAAATAGTTCGTAGGCCAAAACCTCCTTTCTAAGGAGAGGCTTATGTCCAGCAGTGGACTACTAAAGGCTGTTGATGTGATAATGTGTGATGATATGTATACGTAAAGTGAGTGATGAATAGATGAAATAGATGCATTCTACCTCAAGGGGCCAACCTAATTTCCTGTGAGACACTTTTACAAGGCAAGTTGTTACGAGACCATTACGTGCACTACTTTTGGCTTTTAATACCCATAGTTGATTAAAAGTAGGGATTCCAAATTTTCTAAAGAAGTATGTAGAGGGCGGTCATTTTTCCCTTAACTTTCTTTTTGTGGAATTGGCAAGATATACTCACGACGCGTTAGCCTCCGGGATGATGTCGTCAGCGACGACATAAATCATAGCACCAGCTGCGAAAGCCAGCGCGTATGGCAACGCCGGCTGGGCGGCTGCTACTGCTACTGCACCCAGAACGCCGAACACGGGCTCGACCATGCCGGAGAGCTGGCCATACCTGATAGATAAAACAAATCCTGTACTTTAAAATTTTACTATAACAAATATAAGTAGATACATATTAAAAAACTTAGAAATAAACGAATCACGATTACTGTTTCTGGAAATGGTCGTAATAGAAAGACGTGACTCTATGCTGCATATATTTATGGGATTATAAAACTTAGAACTAAAGTTATACAGTATGTTATTCAGTATATCTCATTTATCAAAAGTTAAAAAATTGAAATTTGTTCGCTAATAAAAAATAATGCTCTGGATGAGCATTATTTTTTATATATATCTTCTTAACACAAAGAAAACGTGGGTTCTTTCATAACCCTGCTTAAACAGTTTTGCAAGCCATTGCTTTATATAAGTAGGTTGTCTTATTAGGTGACTTGTTACGGCGAAAATATCAGCATAAGTTTTACTGCATAGCCAAAGAGACCTTTTCTGGGTGTGTAAATATTTTATGCAGTGCGTAGTATTCGCTTATTTTATGAATAGGCTATTAAAAGTAATTCAGTACGGTCACTAAGGAGCCGGAACTTCAAAGGGCCGTATATCCAAACTACTGATCACGACGTCATGTATCAGTATGTTGTTAATTTTCACGTGTACGTGTGGCGGGGTGGAGAGGTACGGCGAGCGGTGCGATGCCGAAAGAGGCCGCTAACGAATTGTTTTGGTGAAAGTGCGGACCAGTGCCGAGACCACATTCCGACGAACTGGTCGAGGAGCCGCTGTTGTGGGAAACGCCGTCAGGGCCACCCCACACGATGACCAGCCTATATCTAACTGCCAACTTAGTTTCTATCACGACTACATTCAAACTGTTAATGCATCCAAAAAATCCGAGAACAATAGTTACTTGGCAGCATTATCATTGGCACATTTAAAATCGGTAATTTATATTGATGAGAAAACCTTTGTAAGAAACACCTTCCTGGAGTATAAGTAGTTCAAAAATAATATTTGAACATTTTGGAAAGTTTGAATAACGATCGTGAAGAATATAATGCACATAAGGAGGGAAGGTTAATTTGCATTAGATAACAATGGTATACAGTAATAGCTAGGCGGAATGCGTGAGGGGAAACGGGTTTGTTGAAATTGTGAGGGGTGCGGGGCGAGCACGGGCGGGCGGCGACGGCGGCGCGCCGGGTGCGCGACGTGATGTTATGTTATCGCATGCATTATTCAGCGGGTGGCGAAAGCGGCAATTTGCGACAATATCCACTGGTTCGCAGAATCGCCGACTGTTGAGCCGACGACGAGCCATAAAACAGGATACCCGTCACTCAATAACTACGTTGTATTTAAATAAAAGCTTACAAATAAAACATTTAAGATGTATTTTTTTGGAAATGGATCATTGTTTATAATGTAAGGTAGTTTCTGGTGTCGTGGTTTTAACATTGTTTCTTTAATATCTTTTACATATCAACATTGAATGAAGAGTATGTTTATTGCTAGAATCTTCTCAGAAATTATTGTGTCCATGTATATACAATCCAAAGAAGGAAAATCACAAAAACAAAATCTCGTCTCGAGCCTATTGTGACTAAGTATTAGGTCAGGCGAATGTAGCGAATGTTGTATATGGACAACATACAAATATTGTAGAACGCAATTTCAGTAGGTTAGTCTTTGTTGTTGCCTTTGTAAACAAACTTTATTAGGTGTTCAAGAAGATTAGGCGCGGTAACAACGCAATATGCGCTCGCTAAACCGGCCTCGATTGCGCAGAACAGCGCCACCAAGGCTGGCAGCGCCTTCCGCGACGACTTCTACGGAGCCCGCGCGGTGGTGACGGCGGCGGCTGCGGTCGCGGTGCGCCAGCGTAGTTCTCTTTATTTAATTATTTAACTCTGAAGGCCGATCGCCCGAGGCGGGCAGCGGGCGGTGCGCTGTGTTTGACTGGTCCGACGAGTGCGGTCCGGAAGAACGCGCAGACAGCGCGCCGCCGGCCGCATGCCACGCACCGCACCAGACTCCGCGGCACCGCAGCGACACATCGCATACCAACACAACGCAACACTCAAATTTCGAAATAGACGACTTTCTCGGGTCCAGTTAGCAATAACCATCTGACCAAATGACGTCGCATGTGTCGAGAGAGCGGCCCCCAGACACGCGGACTCGTGGCGGTACTGACATTCGGCCGCTGCTCCGCCATACCGTCCGCACCTTCACCTAACACTTACGAAAAGATACGGTAAATGTAATCTGTGTAACAATTTTCAATATTTGTAAATCGATTTAGTGTCGATTGCATAGCTATTTCTTTGGCCAAAGGAACAATATCGTCGCTGACAGCACATAATTAAGAAAAATAGGAAAAATCTTAACCCACCAATTACTAGTAATTTGTTTAGATTGTCTAACGGATGAGACACCTATACGGTGCGAGACATGAAGTTTGCTACGTTGTTATGAGTCACATATGCGCTTGCGGTGAGAAATGTTGACTAGACGCATTGTCTACGACAATGGACCAATATACAGCTTGGCATTATTATATCATGCAACAAAAAACCAGTAGTAGGTCTGACTCGAAAACAAGACAAGACATACATATATCAATACCAGTCCCAAAACCTATCTTGAGCACATGAATAAATTAGTGGAAATACTGGTAAGTAAGAGATTATATTATATAAAACACAGACAAGAGAAATCTGTTCTGTGTTGTACATAATAACATAACAACGAAGATCACCGATCTGACAAGTTTCTGCGTTTAAAAACCATCCCTCCAAAAACATTTTCATGTAAAATGTTGCCAAAACGAGATCACAATGGCTGGCATTGCCAAAATCTTTAAGATTTCTCATGTAGAGAAAAAATCCTAGGCCTAACTTTAAAAACTTTACACCTTGGCTGTTTCGTTAATACAAGAACTACCTATCTTATGACAGAAAAGTAATGAACAGTAAATAAATTATTCACTTTACGCCCATGGAACGGTAGCGAAATCGCCAAGCCATATATTTTGAATAAGGTGTAGAGTTTGAGACATTTTACATGAAAATGTTTTTGGTAATTCACTTCCTTTTTTTAAGTTGCTTATGACAATACATTATATTTAATATTTTGATACTATAAAATGTTGATATCAGAGGTCTGAAAATTGATTAAATGGGAACCCCATTATATAAATTTTCAGACCTCTAGTATCAAAATTTGTGGCAGTCTCATACAAACTTCAATCCCCCTTTTTTTGGTTACGGGATGAAAAACCCCTTCGAATCTCGAATAATATATATATATATATATATATATTATAATAGGTCTTTACCTATGAAATTACCATTTTGTATGCAATAAGTGAAAGTACTTATTTTTTCAAAGTTTTTTATTTCTGTTATTCGAAGTAATTACCCATGCAATCGACGCATCTTTGCCAACGCATTGGCAGTTTATTGATGCCCCTCTTGTAAAAATCAGCTGGACGGGAGGCAACAAACTCTTCAAAGGCATTTTGTACTGCCTCTCGGGAATTGAATTTTTTACCCACTAAAAAGTTGTCTAAATTTTGGAAAAAGTAATAGTCGGTAGGTGCAAGGTCTGGTGAGAATGGCGGATGAGGGAGAGCTTCCAACCCCAGCTCTTGCAGCTTGGAGACTGTCTGTTGCGCAGTATGGGGTCGCGTGTTGTCGTGAAGGAGCAGTGGGGACGACCGATTGACCAAAGCTGGTTGCTTGGTACTCACCAGACCTTGCACCTACCGACTATTACTTTATCCAAAATTTAGACAACTTTTTAGTGGGTAAAAAATTCAATTCCCGAGAGTTCCCGAGAGGCGTTATCATTGTGCAAAAGCCAGTTTTTGTTCTTCCACAAATCCGGGCGTTTCTGGCGGATTGATTCGCGCAAATTGCGCATAACTTGCAGGTAATATTCCTTATTGACCGTACTACCCTGTGGCAAGAACTCATGATGCATCACGCCCCTGCAATCGAAGAAAACTGTGAGCAAAACCTTCACCTTTGACCGAACTTGGCGCGCTTTTTTCGGTCTTGGCTCATGTGGCAGCTTCCATTGGGATGCTCTGGAGCACATTTGGGTCGTCATGGACCGAGTCCAACATCTCCTGAGCATTGATAAAGCGATGCTGTTTTTGGTCGAAATTGAGCAATTTTGGCACGAATTTCGCAGCGACCGGACTCATGCCTAAATCATTAGTTACAATCGAATGGCTTGAGCCAATCGATAGGTTTAGGTCCTCAGCAACTTTTCTAACGGTGATTCGACGATTGGCCTATACGTTGCTTTGGTCCAAGCTAGCTTCACCATATGCCACAGTCAACATTCGGAATGGGTTTGCGCACTTTATTTTGTTTTTCACACAAAATTTAATACAGATTCTTTGATCCATTTTTTGCAATAGGCAAAAATCGAAGACGAGCCAAAACACATCCAAGCAAAACAGCTGTCAAAAAGTAACTACAACCTCGAAATAGCCGACCTTGTCAGCATAAGTAAGAGACTTGAGTACCAACATAACGCTACAGAAAAATAAAAAATCAAATATACGTAGCCCGCGGAAATTCGAAATTCGCGATACTTGCTGAACAGACCTCGTATGTAGTAGTAACCAGTTTGAATAGATAGTACATACGAGTATTTATAATATGTAACAGAAACGAAAAAATTACTACTCGAACCGTATCTACTTGTATTCTTCGCTTCCTGAGTATTGCAACGAGACCCTATCGCACCTGTTTTAATTTTATTATTTAAGATTCTATAGCAGCCTCCAAAGTCTAGCCTTATGTGAGATACACTAATAATATTTAATCTAATCCTCCTAATTTGCCCGTAAGGTTTCCTACTCATAAGGTTCGTCACAAATTATATAAAAATATCATAAAATACTGATTATAGTATTATAAACTTCCCATTGTGTCAAAAGGACAACAGAGAAGTTAGTTTGTCAACATAAATATAGGGATATGTTTACAGTAATAACAAAAATATACTGGGATATTGCGGACCTATTCTATTACTTAAAAGTATATTTTACATTATTGAAGGTAGTATCAGGGTTGTTAAATAAATAAAAATATTCAAGAATACTTCAATCAGAATCGCTACATTTTAAGGAGGTTTCCGCTATTATCGTTAACAAAAAGAGTGTCTATCGTACTGTTAATAACAGGTAGAGATAAATTATCAGTTCCTATGGTTTAAAATACTTGTAAATTGTGAGTACACAGCGTCAACTATCAACATAGCATTGAGGTCACTTCACATTCAGCCAAACCCATTTTAATAACGTGCGCTAATAGGAAAATTTATTTATTTATTTACACATCATGCACTTTTAGCGAACTTAATGCCTAAGGCATTCTCTACCAATCAACCTTTTGGTGATGCAGAGAAAACAGGGAGTAGGTGCATTTTGGTTGAAGTTTGTTTGTAGTAATAATATCAAATACGCATATATAAACTTATCATGAACTAGAACCCATACTCATTATACATACGTACATAAATATTCCTAAATAAATATAAACTTACATAAACACATACATACGTAAATAAATAGCATTATTAATAGTAGATGACAATCATTTGTCAGTTGCTTTACAAGATACTGCTTTACTTTAGTTTTAAATGAGAAAGTGTTGGTGCTTTATGATGATTTATGATTTTTTAATGTTTTTTGTTCTATAAATTGGCTTAAAACGTTTACTGTAGCTTAACAGCACTTTAATGTACACATTTCCATTATAGTCAAATAGGCTATTACGATCAAGACGTGCTAATAAGGTTAGTACAGAAAGCGAGCAGGGCGAGGTCGTCGCTCGGCGTACATTCCAGGCCCACTGCAGGTCTGTATTCCCACTCGAGCACATTCTTGCCGCCAGTACAGCCGAAAAGGTAACGAAACAACCAAATGTTTTTTTTTGCGGTAATTATAGAGACGACAGTAGTTATCGCTAGATACTGCTGGATGACTGAATATCTGGCAATAGCAAGGATTTACATAATCCCTACACAAATATTGAATTGAATTGTTGAAATTTCTAAAAGCTACCTAATTTGAGTGTAACGAATTTAAATCTGCTTGTGTTAGTAAATACGACCCTTATAATAATGTCCCGAAATACAGTATTTCCTTTATAAGTTATAAGTATAAGTTCCTTTCACTGTTCTCAGTGTAATCGGCTTGGCGGCGCCAGGTCAGCGGTTCCGAGAACATGGCGGAATGCGACTATTTAGAACTTTTACCTATTTGGTAACGTTTACAATACGTGCACGTACCACACTTGCGCTCTGACAATTTGAATAATTTTCTTTGTGTACACTTAATAACGAATGAACATTTGAACATAAATTTTCTTTCAAATCTAACATCTAACATGAAGAAACTAACATCCCAGATGTTTTAGTACTTTAAACTTGTAATCCTCTAAATTTTGTAATACTTTGGCATATTACATGTCACAATATGTAGATTTCAATGAATCTGCTTAACTGTATGACATTATAACAGTTTCTGGTGGAGACATGATCACAAATCTGAACGAGTAACTGAGCTGCTCGGGCCGGCAACAGTCGCTAAATGAATTAGCCTGAACAGGAATGGGGTCGGCCAGTCTGGCTGCGTTGGCATCCGGCCTAACGACGAGCGCGGGCGCATTCTCTAACCGCGCGCTACTGTCTAACTGCAGAGTGGCAAACTTGCTACCACAATCTGAACCCTAATTTACGCACTTCAATTGTTAACTTTACTACTTTTATCCATCTAGAAAATAATTTAACATTAAAATATTTTATTTCATGATGCGTGAAGTAAGAAAAAATGTTCATGAAAATGGTTGTGACTTATTCTTACCAAAATGCTCTCCAGACCGAGAAACCAGCGGCTTGTAGGGGCAAGCTGACTGCTAAACCCTCAGGAAAATTTTGGATGCCAATGCCCAAAGCCAGGTTTCTGGGGACAAAATAAAAATTTGGGTTATAAAAACTTATTACTAATTTATTCATTGTGGTAAAACAATTACTGTTAAGAAAATATAAATTAGTCAAATACCTATTCAAATATATTTTTTTAAGATTTCAGAGTTTTTTTGTTTTTTCTATCACTATTAACACATAGAATTGGTTCTTGCCAAATTTCATGGTTATAGACCAACGAGGAGTCTTCGGAATAATTATTTTGTAAAAAAATATATATGTAACACAGGTGAAGATTTTTCTAAAATGCACTAAATTAACTATTTTGTTTTTTATGTAAGAGTAAGCAGACGAGCAGACGGGTCACATGATGGAAAGAGAAACTCAGATAGAGAAAGATTAGATCTTCCTGTTAGATTGTATCCTGTTACCGGCAAAAGGTCTAAACAATGTTGGTAAGACTATTTACAGGATGACTCTGCGTTCACGAGAAGAATGCTCATGAATACATAAACAAAAAATATAATGTTTATAAAATAAATAATAATCATAATTTATTGACAAAGCTCTTTACAAGTTATATACATTGGTTAAAATACTTGAAATCTAAGCCATTCTATTACATATTACAAAGAATAATATGGAGAGAATATAGTCATAATATTGTTTTGCTACAGTGGCAACTTTTTTTTACCAGGATGTAAGAATCCTTGGAGAGTTATGTAGGTTTTCATGAAGAACTGACTATCTTCAATGATCCTGTTATAGTGAGGAACAATGAAACGAGACAGTCTGGAAAGTATCAATTTATTTCAAATTAAATTGAATACAGACACGCAGGCAGGAATTAAGTATTCAGTAGTGTTAGAGGTATATTGATGTAATTTACAATGACCACAAACCCTTTTTCTGACTGTCCGAAAGTGAAGCTTTTGTGGAAGAAGTATTTTTATTTTCTAATTCCAAGGTAGATATTACATTATAAGATAAAACCTATAAACAAATCTAGATGGTTGTTATTCGAATTAGCTATAAGTTTAGGTCTTTTATAGTATGACTTTAAGGTATGGCTATAGTACTTAATGTTATCATACTAGAGACTATAGTATCTCTATGGACTATATGCTTTTATGCACTTAACAGTCCCTTCACTTCAAGTCGATTCGTATTATAAAACGAACTATCCGTTTCTCAATTTTTGAGGACCTTTACTAAATATGACTTTTGGAAACTTTATCCTCTACAAACAGTGCTTATAAAAATAAAATGAAGCGAAAAACATATTTTGCCCAGTATTTTAATAATTCAATTGTTGTGTTCGGTAATTTAACGTATGACACTCGATATTAGCAAGATCACCATTTACTCTGTTCAATTTGAAATCAATAGGAAATATTAAGAGCTAATGGCATATATGACTGACGACCGAATGGCGTAGTGGTTTGTGTAACGGACTGCTATTCCAAAGGTCGCGGGTTCGATTCCCGCTCATGTCAAACATTTGTGTTCATGAACATTTAATGTTTGATGTGGTCTGGGTGTTTCTATGTATAACATGTATGTATTTCCGAAAAAAAAGTATATCCGTTTTTATATCAGTTGTCTTGTACCCATAGTACAAGCTCTGCTTAGTTTGGGACTAGATGGCGTTGTGTGATTGTGGTAGAATATTATTATTATTTTTAACTTTATTAAATTATATATAAATATTAATTACATTATTATTAATAATATATGGTAATATTAAAAACTCAACCCGTTTCATACAAAAAATCTTTAAAGTACATAAATGGTAGTCACATCACCATTTTTGTATCTTACTCTCTACGTACTCAACATGAATAAAAGAGACAATCAGCTTAGTATGTGCCTTAACATTTAGCAATATGTGTATACGTAACAAACACAAGCAATAGAAGATATGTGCTGACAGTGGCACATTCCTAACGAAGCCTGTCCCTCCCCCCACTGCACCTGCCACCCTCGCCGCGTGCCGCTCTAGGAATGCGACTAACAGTACTCCACAGCTTTAGTCACCGTTAAACTCAACTGTTCCCGCGATGCAGCTAAAACTTACTTCTCGTAAAATATTACGGAATCAAATAACAATGTGCTATTTATTTACTGACTTCATTCGACTTGTACAAATTTTATTCCAATCGAACGAAATGACACCTTGTATGACCATAATGACTGTACAAATTTTATTATAGAGATAAGGGAAAACAGAATTTGAAAGTTTTGAAAGTAAAGTGTGAAGGCAGTTTGACAACAAAATATTTGATTTATCTATAGTATCTAGTCTGATTTACCTGCAGAACAGTTTTGAATGAAATACTTATTTATGGATTGAATATCGTCGTCATCGATTAAGTAAGAAAATACTATAAAAGGTTTTGCGTAAGATAACTAACGGGACATATTCAAGTAACACAACAGCTAAAAGTACTAATAACGACGTAAACGGAAGCCTCGGGAATTCCTGTTAAAATGGTTAACTTAATAAACATGCAAAGCGGTGCGGAACCTTTGAGCTCGGTGAAAGCTGTCCACTACGAGCCACGCATGTGCCGGCCAAGTACACCGCGCTAGGCACATCTATTGAGTATTTACTAATAAATCTTTTTTAATCCTTATTAGATACATGTGATTTAAAAAAGGTACCTTTTTGTGCTATAAGTAGTACAGGTGAAACAGATATCTTGACCAAATTTACGATACGGTCGGATACCGGACAATAAATTGGTATTTAGTTAGGATACCGGATATTAACGATTTCGTTTTCCTTCATAGATAATGTCAAATTAGAAATTCTAATAAAATCTGCCGTCAATGTTATAAAATTTCAAGAACTTAAATCTTGCATCAAATAGTTATTCTTCCTTAAGTCAGAACTTAAGGAGTTTAAATGACTTTCTAATTTAACTTTCAACGAGGCCCTCGTACTTTTCTTGTGTTTTATCTTTATCTAGTATCTGGCTCTGTTGGAGATCCAGTTATCTGGCCGCAAGGTCTGTTGGATATTCGGGATCCGTTTGATGTGTATTGTAGTATTTAAGTTCGCGACGTGATTGTGGATATGTGAGCACACTAAGAAAACTAAATCAAGTCAATAATAACTGTTGGGATTGTTTGTTTGGGATTGGAGGGGCTCGTGTCTAAGTGATGACTGAGGTGAGGTTAGCACATTGCAAAGTTAAGTAATCCTAGCCAGGTCAGTCTATGGATAAGTGACCATTCTAGACACATTGAGACACCTTTGTGCCTCGGTCCCGGTTGCCATACGAACTTCTATGGCAATCGTTTCGTGTAGTTAGGGCCCTAAAATCCGACATTCTATTTACAGAATATCGCCTAGGAATCGGGTTGTGGAGGTCTGATTAAGTGGCTAAACTGAAAAAAATAGAAGTTCAGCCGTGTCGTAGTAGACTGAAAGTAATAATAATAATAATATCATTTATTTTCTCGACTCCAACCTGGCTAACCTGTTGTTTAAATTTTGCCAAAATTTCAAAAATTAAATAGGCGCTTATGCTAAAAATATATAGGTAAAAATATAGGTATACAACACGATTTCAAATAAGCCCACGGATCATTTCCTGGTGATCACTTATTCCTATTTGAAAAATCGATCAATAGTAGCTATGTCGCTCAAGTGTGGTTAATCTTATCTCCTTGCCTATCTTATAAGATCCTAGAAAAGGCTCTTAGATAAGGATCTCCTGCCTTTTTCTATGGCAGCATCGACATAACTTCTGTTTTAGATATGTTAGATTAAAGAAGTCACAAACTGCAAATAATAAAGAATAACTACTACATGACTAGAATTTTGTTAATTCTTAAGTCATTAGAATACTTACGTACAATACAACACATTTGGAAGGGATGTACGCCATGCTACCGTTTACAAATGTTTTTATTTTAATTTTGTAATTTGTCTTTCAAAAACGACTCTTATATTAACTGTACTGTGATTAATTTAAGGTTGCACAAATGTGTTTAGGTCACAGGTAAATAGTATATTAATACCTGTGTGTACAAAATTTCACAAAGCTTAATCACTTCATGAATTCAGCGCAAATTGGCTGTGACAGACAGAGAGATGGACGGACGATTGATCTTTCTTATAATGGTTCTGTTATCTTCATTCGGTCATACGGAACCCTAAAAGAGCTTTGGGCTTAAAAGCATAGCAACTTAATAATTAAATAGTAATTAAATCAATCGCCATGAAATGCGATAAGTTTATTACCAAAACGCTAACATAGTAAAATTATCTACGTAGGTACAATACTTCTAAACGACTAGATATAAAATTCATGAAGCGCTTATCTTTAGGTTTCCTTCAAAACAACATCAAAATATGATTTGAATAAACAATGATAATAAAGAAAAATGAATGGTCATAATCATAAACGAAATAAAAAGGAGCCAGGATCTTTCAGTTTTATGGTAAAACTAAAAGTGAAGTTGAACTATTCCGTCTCACAAGAGACAAGACAGATGCTGGTGCCCAAATTGATGACAATGCTGATTGTCTACCATTGCTAGTCGAAGTGACAGATTAATAAATTCTGACTTCCCGATTTTATTTTACACTAGCTGACCCGCGCAACTTCGTCTGCGTCTCTCAATAGTAATAAATTTTCTCCGTTTTTGAAACATTCTTCATTGGTGCTCCGCTCCTATTAGTCTTAGCGTGATGATATATAGCCTATAGCCTTCCTCGATTAATGGGCTATCTAACACTGAAAGAATTTTTCAAATCGGACCAGTAGTTCCTGAGATTAGCGCGTTCAAACAAACAAACAAACAAACAAACTCTTCAGCTTTATAATATTAGTATAGATTGAAGTAATCTTTTCATGGATATTAGAAAATAGATAAAAGAGGTCTCCGCCATCATGGGATTGATTTGTAATATGTTAGCTCTGACGTTTTATTGAGCCGAGATATTACATATCAAAACTCGTTTGTGTTTCACCTTACAACGTAAATTACAACTTACTCAAGTAGCTGTGATGAGAAAAACCTTAT